TAACTTTGAACCTATACCCTGCAAAAGTGACGAAATCCCAGTAAGAATCTGGGTCAGGAAAAGTTGAATAAATGCAATAATACCTTTGTGTGTTTTTCCCATTCGCCTAGAGATTGTAAATGGTAACTGAAGAGAAAGTTAAGTGTCCTGGATGCAGTCCAGGCGTAATTAGAGTTGGCATCTGAATCACTGGAATAATCATTTGAAAGATCGTCATCTTTAATTTATTATTGTAATTAATTTCGCCAGAGAAATAAATTCTAAGACTAAACTCTTAAAGCACTAGCATCTAAGGCTATCGGCTTTATCTTTAATTTAAATAAAGTTGGATAAATTCGTTCCATTTTTTCTATATTAGCAAATTACCTCGAAAATAGGCAAATAATCTTCGAAAAGAAAATCTTTTTCCTTTTTATTTTTTCTTTCCCATGTAATCGAACGAGGCACGTTTTTTCAATAAAGTTAGCGCACAAGACGCGACCACGATGCCAAATCCGGTCCGGTAGTCTAGCTAGAACAAAGCTAGAACAAAATTTCTTGCTAAACGCTTAAAATATGGTGCGATGTGTGTGAGTAGGTGATTATCAGCTCGTTTCTGTTGGACATTAAGTTGGATTGCTTTAAATCGAACCTCACCAAACCCAATTGCGCAAAATTAATCAAAAATTCCGAAATGCAGTTTAACTCTTCAAAGGTTTATTTCCTTATAAAATAATTTATTGCTCTCTTCTTATTTACTTTAAGGAATTCTTAAGAAATAAAATTTCAAAAATAGAATAGAAATAATTATGAGTTGGTTAGCGATACATTACACCTGTGCTTAGAATTTCGTCAAGGTATTTTACAGACGCTTTATGCGATATTGGTCAGGAACATTGTAAACTTAGAATTCAGGACTTTGGGAGAGCAGTAAAGTAAAGTATCTCTTTTTCGCTTGACTATGCCACACCGTTCTACTGCACATTAACAGCTTGATAACTTCAACTTTATTATTATTATTATTATTATTATTATTATTATTATAAATTTAGCCAGAGAATAAATTCTAAGACTAAAGTCTTAAAACACTAGCATCTAGGGCTATCGGCTTTTTATTAAAAACTCTACCGCACTTGAGGTTTGAACCCACGACTATTGAGTTGCTCGTCGAGACTCTTGCCTACTCGGCCACTCAGGCGGATATCTTCAACTTTAAAAGGCAACTTACAACCCCAAAGGCATTTGACAAAACGAAATTACGGGATTATGCAGATGTGCTCTTATAAGGGATTGAAATAGGTGCAATTCACTATAAAACTAGTGAAAATCGAAAATGCTTCGCAAAATTCGTTGTGGTTTCCAACGCAATAATCGAGACATGAATTCGATCATGAAATTTAAAGGTGGTACTCGTTCGGCCGTTTATTGGAAAATGTGGCCTCTTTAGTTGAGAATGTAAGTAAGCAAAATTGTCGCATATGTGGCTCCGAAAAGCTAAGAGAAAGAGTCGAGCATACTCCATAAATGCAACAAGTTACAGGTTGAGGTAGACGTTCGATTCTTCGAAATTAGTGCTTCAGAAGGCCGCTTAGAGCGTACGACTTAACACTCTTAGTTTAGGTTTACGTTAAAAATAAAGCTAACATCAATGCTGCATCCATGTTTCAAGCAATCGCGATGAACCATTTCAATAAAGAAACGACGATTTATGAGAAAAGCAGACGCACCCATTTGGCAGATATTGTGGTTCATTACTGTTACTCAGGATTTTCAACGTACTTTGGATTAAAATAAAAATATTAACAATTGTCATGACAACGTTGCGTACTTCTGTTGATATTTAAAAATTGATACTTTGTGAAGCTATTTGTAGTCCATGTTTGCTGATTACAGGCAGACAAAACCTTGAATATGAATTTAAAAAAACAAAATATCAATTTTTCAATTTAATACTAAACTATTCGATAATTCTCTTTTTGATTTACTATTCGGTAAGTCCCATTAATATTGGGTTTTTTAGCTCGACAAAATATAAATGCCTGTCCATAGTTCAAACAAAAAAATTTATTTTACTGTTTTGTACTGCTAGGGAATAAACATTATATTTTTGCAATCTTCGCCCTTAGCCACTGGTGCAAGAACGGAATAGGAAGACTAGAATTTGCCAGGGAAAACGGCCAATTCTTAGTGAAACGGCTCTCTGCTGCAAATAAGACGAAAAAGATGAACTTAGAAACGTGTTTTCTCACAGTTTCTTCCGTCTGTTCCGCCGTCTGTTTTTAGGCTTTTTTTCAGTTTCTCTAACTCCGATAAAAAACCTTTATCCATTACGTTCGTGTAGTCTTTCAATAATATTCTTCAGATATGACCAAATTCAGACGCTTTTTCTCAGATATGACGAAATTATTTTTGAATTACCAAATTTATAGTCGTCAATGCAACAGCTGTTAACGAATATAGACTAACTCTTTGAATTATTTTCATTTGTAAACAAATACAGACGCTTACTCTCAGAGATGACTAAATTATTTTTGAATTACTCTCATATATGACCAAATTAGTCGTTTTTTCAATGCAACAGCTGTTAACAAGTATAGACTAACTTTTTGAATTATTTTCAATTGTAAACAAATACAGACGCTTACTCTCAGATATGACCAAATTCTCAGATAAGACAGATTGGTGGACAAGTAAGCAAAACACTTTCCGATGGTAAACGAGTAGGACTAGGCGTTAACATGAACACTTGCATGCAAATTTAAATTCTCCTCTCCCAACGACGTCGCTTGTTTGTATGTGAGAGTTACGATCAAAATGGCGGAAATAATAGGGCTTATAAAAAAGTTTTCTAAAATTTATTGGAAAATTAAAGAACTGTTTTTACTGTCTTCCTAATGGTTTCTTGATTTTCAATTTTTTCAACTATAACGCAATGATTCCTCTAATCACAATATCTACTCAACATAATCACTCCCTCGATTTGTTTGACTAAATTTTCCAGCTCCTCTTTTTCGAAAAGATAATGGTAACGTAAGAAAATATCTGTATTATTTTGAGTTTCTTTGGATTTTAGCTTCCAGGGCACTAGGACGTCTTAAGTCTTAAACCCTCATAAACGCTTCTAAATACTTGGAAAAAATAGCGGAATTCATCAACAGCAAAACCACACCCTCCATACAAAATCAAAGCCGAAAATTTAAAGACTGAAATGTGGAAAAATCGATATATAAGCTAAGACGACAGCGTTTATTTGATCTCAGGAAAACTAGCCTGTCTTTTCATGTATAGATTTCGATGCGTATGATTTATAATTTAAACAAAGTCGACCAACAATTATCTAAAAAAATTGTCTCTTATTTCTAGAATAATCAATAACATCTTTGCCTTTGTTGCGTGTATCAAAAAGAAATCGAATAATTTCGAATATTTAAGATTGCATTGACTGTATTTGTTTACTAAATTATGTTTATTATAAATATCAAATAATAGCAATGCATTACAATTAGTTTTTTCAATAATAATATTGCGGCGGTGAAAAGCCCTTAATGCTCCAAGGCTCACAAAGATCCTGATTATACTTCTACTTTTATTATCAAATTCCTTACATTTATAGAACTTATTAAATGGTACATATCCTAATAAACTTTTTTTTAATAAAATACTTGTCGTTCTTGTGTTTTTGTAGTTGAACGCATTATTCAATGGGAAATGAAAGAAGGGAAAATTAAACATTCCTGTATATAAATTTAAACTTAAAATTTATTTGCAACTATTTATAAACATTCACACAATTCTCAGGTTAAGTTGCTTTTATAATTCGTTATGCTTCTCTCTTTCATTTGAGTTTCTCCTTACGAACTGAACCACCACGCATTCTCTCTGTGCGTTATACAGCTGTTTCTCTTTTCTCAATGCATTCTTATAAATTTGCGCGGAACACTTTCTCTCCATGATTTCTGACTACTCTTTGCACATAGAAGGCTCTCAGTCAATAATTTAACATATTTTAGATGAACATTTTGTAATCTTTCAATTTTTTTCATTTAATTATTGATTCTATGCAAAGTTAAACTCGCAATTATTAACGTAATTTCGCATAATTGCAGGAAAATAATAAAAATTTGTTAATTTTCTTTCTACGTTCTGATAATTCTTGTACACAAACAGACGTGACTGCGCGGAACATTGCCTCTCAATCCATTCTACAAGTGGTTTTTCTTATAAATTTGCGCGGAACACTGCCTCTCAATGATTTCTGACTACTCTTTGGACATACTTGTACTTGACGTGACTGCGCGGAACACTGCCTCTTAATGCATTCTACAAGTGGTTGTTCTTATAAATTTGCACTTGTGAAATGCAAGAAAAAAAAACACTCGTAAAATGTAAAGAGAATTCAACTGGCACGCTTTCTGAAAAGGTTTTGATTTCTCGCTGAAAGCCGTTAGCTGGTTTTTTCCTTTACGCCGTTTATAAAAAAGTTATTATGAGCGGTGAATAGAGGGAGCGCAGAGTTGCTTTTAATAAATAAAAAAAACTGATGAATAAAATATCTCTCTCATCTGTTAAATGAGCAAAAGTAACAAAGCAGACGCGCGCATCTCTGTTAAATGTTCTTACGTTTTATGTCGTCGGCAACACGTACGCTTTCAGCATTTAATGACTTTACCGAATGGTCTTGAAAAGATTCATTCTATTTAGATGAAGGCTTCTCATCGGCTTTGGCGCCTGTAAGAACACTGCCGTTAAGAAAGGAAAATACATACAAGTTGTAGGTTGTGATTTAGAACGATAACCGTAGCTCATCATCAGCGGTATTATTTAATTATTTTGGTTATTATTATTATTATTCTTATTTTGGGTATAAATTTATAGCTGGGAACAATAATTGGTTCTTCAGTACCGACACAGTTTTGCACACAGTTTCGTGTGATCCATGAACTATTTTGTGATAATTTGCACAACATCCTCGATGAAAATTTTTAAATATATTCAAATTTTTCAATGTTTTAAAATTGCATTTTGTAGCATTTTTATTAGATTATCATAATTTAATGTTTGCTGTGTATATGAATAGAATTTGATTACTATTGATATCTTAATTAATGTCTTTAATCTATTAATCGTAGTAACCATAATGCTGCTTAGTCTTTTTTCTTAGCATTGATTAATATTTCTCTTTAAGTTATTATTAATAAAATTTATCATCATTTCTTAGATAAAAGTGCTTTTCCTTTGATTTTGTGCAAATCTTACATGATATAAACTTATTTAAATTCTTTAATTTGTATAGAATTATTTTGTGCTTTTCTTAATTATTTTTCATTTGAATTCTACGCCCTCTTTAAAGTTCATCTTATTATTTATATAACATAAACATTTTTAAGTATTTCTAATCAATTTCTATATATATATATATATATATATATATATGTATATATATTGTTATTGTATTTTTTTAAATTATTTTTACGCCAATTTTAATCACATAATACATAGAAAACAATTTCTAAAGCAAAAATCATGCATATAACGTCTACAGTTGATGGAAAGAGTGGAAGAACAAGAGAATGTAGTAGACAGTGAATTTTATAAATTGTTAGTTTCAAATTTCTTTTTGTAATTTTATTAAGCTTTAGAAAAATTCTGTTTCCAACTTTTCACTCATTTACTTAATCGTCTTCATCTCCGTCTTCTTCGTCATCCTCAATATCATCATCGTCGTCCGCATCCAGATTGGCTTCATCTTCTTTTCCATCAGTTTCTTCTTCCACCTCTTCTTCATCATCGTCATCATCATCATCGTCGTCTTCATCGTCCGCATCTTTAGAAACAAACTTCCGTTGTTCTAGCGACTTATTACAAGTGTTCGTTGTCGTATGCCTTTTCTCTAAACTATTAGTTTCTTTTCGATCTTTATTCATTTTTTCAGGAGATTTTTTAGTTTTAGATCCTTCGGCATCGCTAAGATCTTCACTGTTGAATTCTTCATAATCAGGGCCGGGCTTCTCGCCCTTTTCTTTGCGTCTAGCCAGAACATCTGCAGCTTCTTTGGAGAGCTTTCCCAACTCTGAAGCATCTGTGATCTTAACACGTCTATTATTTACATCCAGGGACTTAACTTGTATATCTAGGAAATCACTAACACGCTTATCATCCCAACTTGAATACTGAAAAAAGGGAAACAATTAAAGAATCTAGAATAAACTGTCATAATTCGCACATTTCACTTACCACTGAACTGGATGTAAATAGGAATTCTTCAGGTGTTGTTTTTACTCTTATATACTTTTGTAATAAATTTGTATCGTCCTTACGCCATAAACATAAACGTTGATTTTTCGTACAATCTCCCACTAGATCTTTTGCGTAAACCAGTAAACTTAACATACTATCAGTCGTAACTGAATTGCTGCCTTCCATAGTCGTTGCTGTTGTTGAACTCTTATCGGCAAATTGTTTCTTAGGCGGTAGATTAGTAGATGGTTTCTTCTGCGAAGGTCCGGCTGTCTCTTCTTCTTCATCAAAAGAATTGAATTCCTCATCACTTGGCGGTTCTTCATCTTCTTCTTCATCGTCACTCTCTTCATAGGTCGCTTTACGTTTCACGGACGATTTATTTGTGGTAACTGGATTTAAACTTGCCTTACGTTTGCGGCCCCTTTTGCTAGCCGTAGCACTAGCTCCTCGTAGTTGTTTTTGTTTTTTACCGTTTTTATTCGAAGCAGAAGGACGCCAATCCTCTTCAGAATCATCGTCCTCACTGTAATCCTCCTCAGAGTCTACAAAAGTTGTGGTAACTAGTTCAGTGCGGCTACGCATTCTGTTGCTTAAAACACGGAATGGGAATAAGTTTTCTACTAAACTAACGATATATATACTATACTATAGTATGAGGGCACAGCTTCCTTTTTCTCGCAATTTCTTGTTTACTTTTATTTAATATATTTTAAGTGTAGTTGGCTTTTATTACATATATTTCGTTATTGTTTCTTAAAAACTCGAGTTTTCTTTATTTTATGTATATATTTCTTTTTTGGTATCTATAATATTTTCCCGTTTTTTTTTTATTATTTCTTAATCTCTGCCCCGTTTTCTTGTCTTTGATTTGCAACTCAAAAAATCACTTATTCACTCACACTGTCAGGCTTACATACCGTTACAAAATCAGAGCTGTTTTCTTATAGAATAATTGCAATATATTTTTGAACATTATTTAAGTATTTTTTATATTATTTGGATGGCACTGAAGAAGACTGATAGAAAATTTCACAAAAATTTTTGTTTATTTGTGTCTGTATCTCCTAAGATTTGTTGCTGTTGTACTTTATTGCTACTTTTGGGGATGATGATGATGATGGTAAAAACTGCAATAGGACTGAAGCAGTAGAAGTAAAGTATAAACTGTGATTAGTAGTCATTTTGTAGATGGTATTTTGATCATAATTCATGCAAGTGTGGTTGGTAGTCATTTTGTAGATGGTATTTTTTCATGCTCTTGTAATAAAAGCTATCGAAAGCTTTTAAGCAAAAGTTTCCTTTCTGCTGAGAGTACATTTTATGATTAAGGCAAACAGAATTTCTCAGTAGTAAAGATTATTTTTAAGGAACAAACGAATTTGATTTTCTTCCCGAAACGTTGAAAAGCTTAGAAGAAATATTTTCACATATATTTAAAGAAAACTTCATAATAATTATGCAAAAATTAACTTTGAAAAAGCTTTTAAAATTTGTTTTGAATTCTATTCTTCTATTAAATTCGATTTGGCAGGGAGTACTTCTCATTTTGCTGAATCATCCTGAGCAATGCTGAATTATATTGATGCTACTTGTTGATTTATAAAAGCACAAGATTTTTTGTGCAAATTTAAGCTAAGATTTCAAAAATGATTTCTTTTCTCGTCTCTGAACAATGAGATGATTTTTTTTAAAAGTTCTATGCCTTCATGAAATTCTTTCCAGAATTTCTGGTAAAATTAACGCTACGATTTGCAAAGTAATGGTAAATTTTCATCAAGTGAAGATTATAGCTCTCTCATGAAAACGTTTAGAAGATAAGTTTATATCCACGTTGGTATTCCTTCGTAGTCCTAATTATCACGATGAATTTCTTTAACACTAAAGTAATAAAACTTTATAGATTTACTTTTAAATTAATCTTCCATATCAAACTAGAAATTGTGTATAGATCTCTAAGCAAAACGATAGTTGTATTCTGAATGCTTATTTAGTTCGCGTGTAGTAACTATCCATATAAGTAAGTTTGGCATAAATCTTTAGCAGTGATATATCGAATGTTACTTATGCCCATAACGATAAAACTACATTTGTTTACGGTTTCATGGGTGTTCATAACTTGGTCTAAGCGGTGTAGATATTTCGTAACATGGAAAGAAAAAGGTTTACAAGATAATTAATGTGATTAGCTTTTCCAGATCGATATAAATAGCCTTATTATATATGAAAAACGTATTGGAGCTATCACCACAGCATGATACTGTTAAAAAGCGGAAGACCAAATCATAAATCATCGTCTACCACTTATTCTCGTTATCGGACTCGCTAAAGTTCATTAAAGCAACATTGTTTAATACGCGCGATTTACCTATGTCGTATTTAAACTAACTTTTATCCTTAAAAAGTCGTTACGTTTCGAAAGTGAATTATTGTCAATTTATTATCGGTTGCCAGGCTTACCCATGTTTGCGATGGCTTAGGGGTTCATTTGCAATTTGGTCCTGTACCGGTTGTAAGTGTGCTCCTATGCTGACAGTGTACAAGCTTTTTTTTCTTTTTTTTTTTCTTCTTATTTGTTTTATTATGCTTATACTCAATTTTATTGTTAATTAATATAAGTTTTGCATTAAGAGCCAATTGAACTCGACTGTTATTTGTTTAGCTGAGTTTCTAGTATAAGTGGAATAAATAAAATAAATAAATAAATAAATAAATTAACTTAAATCCAAAGGAACTAGAGAAGAAGAGAATTAAGAGTAAGAGAATTATAGTGGGGCAGGGCGCACATTTTGTTTAGTTTGTTCCACTAAACGCTCTTCATGCGATGCAAAAGCCGGAAATGATAAGGTAAGTAGTAAAGAGGAGTCTACACCCTGAAAATTTACAAAATATTAAAAAAAGGGTTCTTTTTCGCTTTCATTTGTGTTTTTTAGAAGTTGGCCTAGTAGTAGTAGTAGAGAAATATAATTTTTATTATCAAATTAAAAAAAATGAGAAGCAGTCTCTGTTCAAAAGGCAAAGCAGTAGTGAAATAATCTGTTAAATTGCAAAATCGTCGGCATTTATAATGAAAGAATCTGTTAAATTGCAAAGCCGCCAGCTTTTATAACGAAAGAATCTGTTAAATCGCAAAGCCGCCTGCTTTTATAATGAAAGAATCTGTTAAATTGCAAAGCCGCCAGCACATAAAGTCAAGTTGACTTTTGCTAATTTGGATTTACTTTGGTAGACTTTTTGTTATAATAATGAAGTGTCTGGAGACGTCTAATGGTGTAAATTTATACTGGGGTTTGGTTATTACCCAATAGAGCAGTGGATTCATTATCGGTACAATGTATACTGCCATCTGGTTGTAAGCTATTTTTAAATTGTTCACTAAACCATTCAATACATTTGGCCGTCGTTTTAGTGCCCATATTACGATCGAATATCGAGTCGAAATCTTCACAATCGTCAAATCAGACTCGGTTCTTCAATTATTCTCAATTGTCAACAAATGCAGACTAACTTTCTCAATATTTTCTCAAGCGTTACCAAATTTGGTCTCGCTCATTTAATTATATAATTATATCTTATATTGCATGAATGCACGTTTTTACAAAATTCACAATTTTTAAGAAAAAACTTATTTACTAAAACTTTTGCAAAATTTAAATTTTTTTAAAGTAAAGTCCTATATATATACAAGTACGTGTTGTTTGTTTTGAGCCTAGCAGAAGTGCACTAGTGCAATGAACCAGAATTGAGAACAACAACTCAAAAAAATTGATGCATTTGCAGTATTCTTAGTGAAGTGAGAGAGAGAAAAAGAGAGGGAGTGGTGAGTTCAAACAGGGATAACTTAATTACAATATTCAAATTCAAACTAGCAGGTTATTGCGGATTTTTTGTGTTGCTGTTACGAATGACATTATTAGTGTTAATAAGCAGTAATTTGACAGCTTGTTCTTTCATCCTCATTATTTGTGTAGCAAATCTAATTTGCTTTCTTTTTATCGTTCATTGAACAATTCTAAATTTTATTTGTGCCAAATGCTTTGGTAAATTTTAATGAAAATTTTTATATCAAGAAATTTGGAAATTTTTTATTATTAAAAACGATGTTGCAGGAATAATTTATCTTTACATAGCTTGTTTATTATTTCTATATTTGTCAATTTTAGTTGCTTACACCCACATTTGACATATTTTATCCAATTTTCCACATCAGACGTGTCACACGTGACCTATGCAAATATCGAGAATAAGAGAGCAAGCAGTCAAATTGTTTGTAACTAACAGCGTTACTACTGAAACTGAAACACAAAAAGTCGGTGAGTTAGAAATCTTGGACTATTTTGTCCGGTAGTTGTGTCTGATATTACACGTATTTTATATCTCTATATGAAGATAGACTTAGAAGAAAAAAAAAAAAAACAGAGAAGGAATGTGTTGCACTTCGTTGTTTTAACCTAGCACTGCAGCAATTACAAATAAACGGTGGAAGAAGAATTTATTATACTATCAATCAATTTCTTCAATTTATACAATTAATACGGGCATGGTTTGCGTTAGCTTTTATCGAGAATATTAGTCTTCCAACAAAATGTAAATGAAAACTCGCGCCTCTTGCAAAGATGTACAAAAATAAACATATTCAAATGTGTTTAATTCATTTTATTAATTTATTTGTGCTTTGTATGTTTTTTAATTCGTCCATCTAATAATATATTTTATTAATCATTTCACAAATAATCTCCTTTTTTAGAAGTATGAATTTATTTTATGCTAATACCACAAGACGTTATACTAATGTATCAAAACTAAATATATAATTGAATTAAATATTTATATTTAAAATTTGCTTAATAGTTGCTGCGTTATCTCTCTAGGACAACTTTAAACATATAGTATTTTGCTGAAAATATGAAATGAAAAACATTACTTTTTACTTCAATAAAATGAGACAAATAGAGTGCTGGTAAAAATATTCTCTCCTTTAACAATGTAACAGGTCCTTTGATATTTAACATAATTTTCTAAGCACAACCAGCCGAAGTACTTAATAATTATTTTTTGCGCTATAAAAATGAAAAAAAGCTTATAAGACCGAATGGACTCTGCAGCGGCGTAGGATATGAGGAAATAAAAATTTGATTCGTAGTTTTTTAAACACAATAGTTTTAAAGCTAAATTTTATTTAGTTGTGTTTTTTTTATATTTTTGTAAATTATTATTTTTGTACATTTAATGTATTTTTTTTTTTTTTGAATATTGGTAAATTATACTAATTGTATTAAAGGTTTATCTTTGACTCTTTAAATTATGTTATGTTTTTTTTTAAATATGTTTCATATATGCATTTTCTAGCTTATTATTATTGTTGCGCGAAGCTATGAAAATGAAAAGCAACCGTTTTAATGCTTTTGTAAGAATTCACTACGTTTTTTGTTTCTGCTCTGTCCTTTATTAATACATATTTTATTAGAATAAGATTTTATTTACTGTATTTGTTATTTTAATACGTACACATTTTAATGAACGCTGTTTACGATTTAGCCGAAGAAGATGCAGTTTTAGGGAATATAAGTACGCGTGCATAATAAGCATTGAAAGCTAACTACAAGTTTTTCTACTACATATCCACGTATCTTAAGTAGTAATGATAGAAACTTTCTCAATCGGTTATGACGTTAATTAATTGATTTAATAGTTGAACATAGTGTTTGACGTTCGTAGTTTACTTTCTCTACATATACGGCCAGCTATTTATTGTATTATTCTAGATTTTGGTAATTAGAGTGACAAGAACAGGAAGAACTAGTTGTAAATGTAGAAATCTTTGAAATTTATAGTTGTCGAAAAAGTGGCGCGATCCTAACCATTTCCAATAACGCTCGAACTTGGATCGAAACGTGCCGGTGCGCCAATTCTTACCAAGATATCTCAAAAATTGCGGCTTGCAGGTTGAATACACGAAAACAAGACAGGCTTACGCTCAGCTAGACAGACAAGCTAAAAGTTGAGTCTATATCAAATCTTTCTGAGTATTGCATACACATGATATGTGATGTAAAAATTCAAGAGTTAAAGCTTTGCAAAGCTATTAAATTAATTGCGCGAAAGCAATATAATAAATAAAAAAATTAAAAATTAAAATACTGTAAAAGATTGCAAAAAATTTTTATATTGAACTGGAATGCATTTCCAATTTCTGCTGGACTATACTCTTATCAAGTTTCGCATTACTATCTGCTGTACGTTGACACCTGGAGGTATTTATCGGTCGTTAGGAGATAACGTCTTTTATGAAATTGCATTCATGGAAGTGAATAAACGACATATAATCAAATTTTTGTTTTCTTTCTTTATTTCGAAAATTTTAACCGCTTCAAAACGAAGACAGCAAGCAAGCGAACATAAAGGTAGACCTAAGTCAACTAATACAGATTATTAAGCCGAGCAAGATCTGACATCTATTCTATATCTGATAAGTATATCTGGGGATTGCAAATGAATATATAGCTATCTTCTTTGAGATCGCGTTGAACATTAAGTAAACAATTTTTTTCACCCGCTTTCCATTTCTTGAGGAAGAATTATAACTTTTAGAAGCGGTCAGATGTTTTTTTTTACGTTTTTTTCTTCACCATTCAAAAACGTACGTAGTCTTCCCCGCTGAGTATTACAAACAATTGCAAACAACCTAGCCGTCATGAAATGTATAAAAAATTTAAATGCAATGAAATAATTTAATAAAATTCTGAAAAGATGATAGATTTCGTTAATAAGCTTAAATTTTTAAAAGTTATAACAACGAAATAATTTTCAATACATAAATTTTTTTAAGCACTTGTATTTATTAGATGCGCTTTAGAAAGCCCGTACCATTATTCATAATCTTTAAGACATAATAATATTTCCTTTTACACTTCTAATATAATTCTATTATTGTTTTGTGTAAATTAAACCTGTTTTATTCCCCAAACTTATATTAATTCTTGTCTTTATTTAATTTATCATGAAATATCGCTTCTTTTTAGATTTTTAACCGCTATACCCGTGTTGGTGTTCCATAGATAGGATTAATATGATTGCGTCGGGTAGTTAGTGGGGAAGGATTGTTGTTAACACTTCGTCTGGTTGGCACTTGCTGGCAATCGGAAAAGGAGCGATCTATGCAAGAAAAACAAGAAGAAATAATTTAGTTTCATACATTCATAAAAGTAAGAGATAACTTTAAGTACATAACTTTACTAATATGCAGGCTTAAGCTTGCTCCTGAGAACAACTTTTTGCTTTCTAAGCTCAAGGGGTTTTTTTCCTTTTTGCCGGCTTTTACTCCAAAATAATTTAGTTTTCATTCTTCCCATATCGTATAAATTATTTATTATTATTATACATTATTCATTATTTAAACATATTCAATAACCTTAAAGGCGGAAAATTGTAATACGTATCCAAGTGGCCACTATACTTTGCGTAACTTCGTAAAACAGAAATACATATGACCTCTGTGGCCGATTCGCATCACAAAAATGTAAAATTATACCTTGACGAAATTTCTCCCCCAATAACGCCAAAACGAGACGTGTTCTGCGGGCTGTGGCATCGTCTTGTTGAGCGCGTCAATTTCACGCTAGAAAAAAAATTGATAATCATACGGCTGCAGCGATTAGAATCGACTGTTTGTATAACATCCTTATGACTTTCAAAAAGCTACGGGTCTGCCATATCTCACAGAGTGTTTTGCGCTGCTACAGATACGGCAATTTTGCATAAAATCCCAAATATTACATTAGAATGATGCCCTTGATAGAAATTCTGTTTTACATATTTTACTGAAATAGGGTTGCTAAAACCAACCTATATTTATAATGTTATATGTAAATCTCAATATATCTTAGTTTTACTATGTGTCGCCAGATTTTGAAAAGATGTAAAAAAAACATAGTGCAATTTTACTGTGCTTTACTGCAAACTTTTTTACTGGTTTTCATCTTTTCTATGACTGAAAACACACACCAGAAAATGCTATGTCATTCAGAAACCTCTCTTAAAGCCCAAAATGTTCCCGACTTGGCAAACAATAAGCGAAGATTTGCCAGTTTCTGTGATTCGACTTACTGCATAAATTTCTTTGTCGTAAAATACACTTAGAATTCTCACCATAGTCTTTTAGCGAATTTTGCCTTCATTTTATTATTTACATTCCTTTTGTTTTGAGGAGTTGCGCGAAGCATAGAGTTTATGAGAACAATCCTTAAACTCTTGATGCTTTGAAAACTAACTTTCGTCAAGTTATGGCCGAGCTTAATACCCACTATGTGTAGGCAAGTCATCGAACATTATCTCAAAAGGATTCGGTCCTTCAAGATGTCTCGTGGACGAATGGATGACGTTACAGTTGGCAAGGCCAAAACAGTATATTAAAAAAAAATGTTGATCCATATTTCAATAAGGGTAATCATATAAGCAGGAGACAATGAAGTAGGTAAGTTTGACGGCGATCGTCGCCAAATGCACTCGCTTGGTTAAGTGAAATGTGGCAACAATAAAACTGTTAGTAGAATTTGTGAGTAGAAATTTGCATTAGTAAAGCAAAATTACTATAAATTCCTCTTTTATAATTACATTTGCAAAAATGCAGCTGCAAAAGAAAGATATGAATAGCTCTTAGAAAATGAATCAATAATTCAAAAATTTAAAAAAAATAAAATTTGTCTGAATTTATATTTGTGTAAGTACAATGACCGAAGTTCGACGGATCACCTAAAAAAAATATACAGTGAACTCCCTTGCAGGGCGAGTAACATTGTGGGAAGATATATTGCTGTATATCAAAGTTAGTATTACAGTATTTAGTATTTCGAAAATCTAACCATAGCTTTTGAACATTTTTTGTAGCTCGCTGGCGTATGCTGCAGGAGGGCGAAAGAGCTGCTGCAGCCTAAAGAAGTTGGAAAGAATCGCCAACGTCCACTAGAAATTGGGAGAAAGTCTACAAATATTCAAGTATACAATAAAAGACTCTCAAAATCTGTAAAAGTAAAGAAAAGAAAAATTGAAGTATGTTGTATTCCTTTTTCCTTTTTGACTTTCTTTTCGTGAAATCAGCTTATCTTTTATTTGTTTGCCGCTGCTTTGGTAGCAAAAAGAAGTTTATTGCACGTTTAATTGATTTGAAATTCATAATTTGGTAACATCTGAGAATATATTGAAAAAGTTATTTTGCATTTGTTTACAATTGAGAATAATTGAAAAATTCAGTCTGCATTTATTGCATTGAAAAATCGAGTCTGAATTTGGTAACATTAATGAAATAATTCATTAATGTATAGTTTGGTTGCTTCGAAAAATAAAGTATCAATTTGACGATTGTTCATTTTTCGCGCAGTATTTCAAACATTTTTTGTGAAATTTTATTAAATTTTTTATTTTAAACATTTTTTGGTCGGATGAAATTATCAAATATAAAAATTGTTTATTATATATCATAGCGTCCATTAGGGCTTTATTCTTTAAGATTTCAGGAAAAGCAAAACGCATTATTATTCGAGTTGATGTAGCACGAGCAAAGAAGATCATTATTCACGATGTTTCAATCAAGAAAATAAAAGAAATTCATGCAAAATGTGGTGAGATTTTATTTTCACCATTATTCATATTTATTGAAAGCAACTCTGCGATCTCTCCATCCCCCATAGCAGATAAATTTTTTGTAAACCATGCAAAGGATTTCGTATAAAAGTAGCCAACGGCTTTCAATTGCCAAGCACAAGAAGCACACACAAAATTGGCCGAAATTAAAAAAAAAAATCGAAGAAAATTTAATTTTCTTACATATTCATTAATTCAACTTTAAAAAAAAAAAAAGATACTTTAAAATTTTTTTAATGCATTAAAATAGTGTAATTAAATTATAGTGTAAAGTTTCTTGTTCAAAATGATTACCTAGGTAGCACAAGTATTAAAAACAAAAATGGAAAGTAACTTTCGAGTATAAAATGTTACAACTGTGGTTGAAAAGACACTGTACAGCGCAATGGAGGCACAAAGACGGACACGGAAGAGAAACTGTGAAAATTGGTCGTTTGCAGCAATAAATGGGGAAGATGAGAATGAGAGAGTAATATTGTCAAAGGGAAGGCCACTACACACGAAGGAGCTTAATGGGAGATTTGTCGATGTACCGTGTTTGCAATGCACTTTTTGTCGGTAGCCATGGCAATGTGTCATAGGTACATTGTTCGTTTCATAAAATGTGGTGGAGTCTTCGAAGACACGCATGTAGGAACAATTTTAAATCACTGATTTGTTTTTCTTTAGTGCCAATGTAAACAATAAACTTTTTGTAAGCGCATAAGTTGACGAAGCGATAAAATGGCACAATCGTTATGGACACCTACACTTTGTTTATCTAAAGGAACTCTCAGAGAAGCAGTTGGTTCAAGTGTTGATATTTATCTGTCAACAGATATTTCTTATGCCATTTGCAGAGGAAGCAAATGCCTTCAGAAAACATTTACCAGTCCAGCAAGCTAAGCAAACGAATCACCAGAGATATAGTTCATAAGGACGTATGTGGACCTAAAACGTCGATTGTTGATACATAACATATATACTTTCACCAGAGATATAGTTCATAAGGACGTATGTGGACCTAAAACGTCGATTGTTGATACATAACATATATACTTTTATTGATAATAAATCTACATGCGTTTGCTTTTTGCGAAGTAAAGACGATACCTTTGACACATTCAAACGATCTAACATGACAAACCGGAAAAAAGGAGGAAAATCCTCAGAGGGATCAAGAATTAACGGTGCCATATACCCCACACTAGAATGGCATGGCGTCAGTTGCACGTTAATTGAGATGGCCATATGTAGGTGGTTTCTTGAATTATTTCCAACCGGAATTCATACACAAAGTTTACACTAAGACTGAAGTGAAATATCGTCGCATTTTTTTTTTTTGGTGTGATCAGGTTCACATTGGGTATTGCTATCTTCCTATTGCGTTATTTTACCTAACTCTTCTTCCAAATACGTAAAACGTAATACCAGCATATCGGATTCTATTAAACCTTATTTCAACAGTACTGAACGGCCAACAAAATGGTACTTCACAAATGAATCCTTCATCCGCTCATAACGCTAACAATCAATGTGGTTTTGTTTTTCGTGCAGCATTTCTGCCTTTGGTGGCATCATTTGCTCCTGGCTTAGCAAAAGCCTATAAAAAGTAATTTGGTTGTTATATTTATATTATTAATGACAAATAATGGTGATGATTACTTTTATAAATAATTTACTCAAGTTATTTATAAATATACATATGCTGTGAGAAATGTATATGGGTAGTACATGAAGATATTCATAAAACATGACAACAAAACTTTATATAATAAAATAAAAAAAAATAAATGAAAAAAGGGTAACTTAATTAACTATTGAATTAAAATTTAATTTTTTTTATTAAGTATTGAATTTGTTTTTGAAGGGTATATTTAACTTATGAGTCTCACTTTTGTCGGGTTATTTAAGTACTATTATATACCTTTTGCAATTTTTAGGAGACTGAAAGTATTCAATTGTGTAAGCTATCGGAAGGGCATTTTGGAAATCGAAATGAGAAAATTAAAAGAAAGGGTGCAAGAAGGGAAGATGAAACAAAGACGTTCTCTAAAGTGAAGGAAGGAAAGTCAGAGGAAGGTAGATTTAGCGGTGTCTTCGAACCCATCTTGGGGTTTCCCATAAAAATCAAGGATCGAAGGGAACCAATAGGCAGGGCGGTTATTAAAGGCGCAGGACTTACAGGATGCCCTCGTCCTCCTGTTCGTTAAAGGGTAAGCACGTGCTAGTCTTTTAGGTGCAAACGTCTGAGAAGTGTCCGAAAGGCAAATTATAAAACTGCCTATCGTCTCACCAACTAGCTAGCTTAGCAAAGACAGATATCGCGCCGTTCTACAAACGATCGGCGGTTCAATGGCTTTGCTGGGAGTCCTGAGTAAAATTCGAAAGACAGAGGTGCAATTTGCAATGTGGCATGGGAAAATGGGTACGTAAATATAATTTTAATTTGCTTTACATTGTAGTTTTTTTTTTTTATTTAAAAATGACTTAACATTTAAGTTTATCAGCTACGTTTATGTGTTTTACCAGTCTGTTGTTGCACGCATAAATGAGTCATTATGAGTTGAAGTCTCCACGGATTATTTACGTAATATCGCGTCAACTACGGCCCTAGAAGAGGTAACACCTCATGAAATATGATATGACAGAAAACTTGCAGGGATGCATTTAAAAACATTTGACTCTATATCAAATCACTTAGGTAAAAGTTGGCGAAATAAATTAAACAACGAGGCTAAGAATACATTAAGGTTGATTATTCTAACAAATCAAAAGCGAACCGATTTTTCTACAAATATGTTAACGAGTTAAAAGTACGTGGAAATTTATATTTTATTAAAGCCAAAGAATATGTATATTTTGTTATATCACTTAAAAGAGACGCCCAACACTGAGAAAACGTTCATACCAATGGTGAAACTGGAAACGGAGATAAGAGCTCAATGAAACAGATAGTAGTTTTGAATCAACGATTGTGAGAAGCTTTATCTAGTGAATATGTAAATCAGTCGTACTTTACTTTTTACCTGCGTCAATATTAACTCGCTATAATGTACACATTCAATTGATCAAAATAGAGAGCCACTTCGATCTTGTTCTTCATTCATTGTAAAATAATGTATGTTTAAATCATAATTTTAAATCATATAATATAAAAAAGATTTAAAATAAGATGAAATTTAAAAAATACTTTTAAATTTTGGATACTATTATCTGCTTATTTGTCCAATTTTATATAATAATATAGTCATAATATGACGTCTCCATGAACTTAAATTCAGGGTAAATTCAAACTTTATCATCTGATCAATAAAGTAAATAAAGTATCGTCACTATGGTCTGTTGTCCATCATCCATGTCACTTGTCCATCTTTCAACTTTACATAAGTGCTCAGATTTCAAAAGGAGGGAGAAATTTTTAAAATTTGTTCAAATGTTAAATCTACAGCGATTGATAACTAATTTCGATTAGCTGGCTTTGTTTGATAATTTTGCAGGCATTTGTTACACGAACAATAATTGTAATTACATGAATGGGACTTGCTTGAAGTCCACCGTTTTGCGCGTAAAGGAAATTAATATTTACATAGAGGACTTCCTACATTGTGCCACATTCGCTTATAATACGAAATTACAGAATGTAGATTACTAGTTGTTTTGGTATAAATAAAGTGTTATACATTTTGTGGTTTCGAAAGTAAACGTATATAAAACACACATCTGATTCACATTTGGATCAACTTTTTTTTAAATCTATTATTTGGATTATACCGTTATTGGTGAAGTACGACGTTATTCAAGTGTTCTCCACACGACTTTTGACGTAATTTTCCATTACTTTTCTATTTATAACGGGCAATAGCTTGGCCGTAACATGACGGTAATTAGTTTTTAAAGTGTTAAGAAATTGGGAATTGTTCGCGTAAACTCTACCACTACCCGGTGTCTGTTTATTTTCGCTTTTCGTTCAGAAATAATGGCTTTAAAAGAGTTGAGCTTGCCTAACACTTTATCTATAGTCCTTCCTAACTCGTACAGTAGACCATTCTTGTGAGCCTAAAAAAATAGACAAAATTATCGAATGCATATATACGGCTCGGATTACAATCATGGAGTTTGACGTAATATCTGAGTGGGCGATCATAAAAAGAATGTTTAGTTAACTGCGGGCGCAAAAAGTGACACAAATAAAGTTATTGCTCAGAAATGGTTTTTGAAGACAATAATGGTTTTGAAGACAAATGGTTTTGAAGACAATTGGTTTAGTAAGACAATTAAATATTACAAGAATAGATAAAACACGCTATTCAAAAAATATTCGAAAAGTGGCTCTGCGCTCGCCTATTTCGCTTACCCGGTGGCGAGGCATAGATTTAACTCCCTCAACCACCATTATTACTGCAGGTACCTTCAGTTCATAAAATCCTCTCTGTTTGCTAACCCTAAGTACTTTTTTAAATTTGTTAACTCTAAAAAAAAAAATTTCCACATACATGTTTGTTTTAATGAGTCTGATTCCTCGGATGATTTTGAAATCTCAAATCTGTTTGCTGAGTATTTCCGACGAAACTTTTCGATTGCTAATTTCAATTTATCAGCAAACTACCCATATCCTATAACTACCTTTGTCTCAATTCCTAACTTGGTAATTTCGGAAGATGATATTTTTAAAGGGTTGAGTTCTCTAAAATATTATTGTGCCCCAGGACCTGATGGAATTCCATCATGTGTACTTAAATCTTGCGCTGTCGAGTTATGTGGTGAGATCTCAAAGTTTTTTAATCTGTCCTTGAATTTAGGTGTTTTCAAAGCATTTGATATGGTTAACCATAACTTACTTATCTTTAAACTCCAAGCCTCTGGCTTCCCTTTTTATTTAGTGAAATGGATAAACTCTTATCTGCACAATAGATCCTTCAGGGTTTTGTTTAACTTCATCACCTCGGATGAATTCCCCGTTATATCTGGCGTACCTCAAGGCAGTCACTTAATGATCTTCCATCGGTGGTTAATACCAGCCAGATCTTAATGTATGCGGATAATGTGAAACTGTTTTTCTCCTTCTCTGTTGAATCGCAGTCACATCAGCTTCAAGGTGACTTGGATAATTTTGTTGCATGGTGCTCTTTGAATCTGCTGAAACTAAATCTGAGTAAATGTAAGAAGCTTTCATTCTCAAGAAGAAAGTCATTCATTACTCAGCATTTCATAGATTCGCATAAGTTGGAGGATGTCGATTCAATCATAGATTTAGGCGTTCTATTTGACCATAGGTTACGTTTTAACTTGCATATTGAGCTCTCGATTAGCAAAGCTAGGTCCGCGCTTGGTTTTATAAAAAGGTGGTCCAAAGAGCTTGATGATCCCTACATTACGAAAAGGCTGTACATGTGTTTGGATAGACCCATACTCGAGTATGCTTCGACGTAGATTCAATCGAATCTGTTCAAAAGCAATTCTTGCTGTTTGCCCTTAGAAATTTGGGTTGGGATCCAATTGCCTCTCTTCCGCCTTATGAAAATAGGTTGCTACTGTTGTCCTTACCGTCTCTCGAAAAACGTAGATTTGTTCTTGGCGTTTCCCTCGTAATCAAAGTAATAAATGGTGCTATTGACTCGCCTGCAATATTTGGTGAAATAGGCTTTAATGTCCCTAACCGCTTGTCTAGGCACTTTATCTTGGTTAAGCTTAATCAGTGTAAATTTAATTATGAGCTGTTTAATCCGCTCAGAGTAGTTTGCAAGAACCTAAATGACATCTATCACTTATTCTCGTTATCGGACTCTTTAAAGTCCATTAAAGCAACATTGCTCAATACGCGCGATTTACCTATGTCTTACTTAAACGAGCTTTTATCCTTAAAAATCGTTACGATGGGAAAATGAATTGTTGTTAAGTATTTTCGGTTGCCAGGCTTATGCATGTTTGCGATGGCTTAGGGGTTCATTTGCAATTTGGTCCTGCACCGGTTGTAAGTATGACTCTATGCTGGTTGTGTACACGCTTTTTTTCTTTTTTTTCCTTCTTATTTGTTTTATTGTACTTATACTAAGTTTTATTATTAATTTAATAAAAGTTTTGCTTAAGTGCCAATTGAACTCGACTGTTATTTGTTTAGTTGAGTTTCATGTCTAAGTAGAATTAATATAAATAAATAAATAAATAAAAAAAAATCAAAATACAACAGTTTTACATTTACAGTAGCTTCCGCTTTGATCGGATCGATCTCACGATCCTACAATTGTCTTTTTAAGACTATCTAAACTATCATTTAAGGCAATGAAAGATTTGTTGAAAATATGCCCTATACGAGTAACTACAGTTTTCACCAAAAAATTATTTTATTGCCGTAAATAACATTGGGAAATACACCAGAACTGTTTAAGAAAAAAACCACTGCGAACTTAAGATTTAAGAATCCAGATGTTTTTCTTAAGCCTGTATAATATATTAATTTTACATTTTTATAAATAATAATATATATAAAACGTATTTACATCTACATATACAAACTTGCACACGTCTTCCAGATAAATTTTTCTGTCTGTAGTTTTTGTTCAATTCATTTTTTCACTCTATGTGTTTGTGTCTCTGATTCATGCTTCAGCTGTATTTATTTATTTGTTATTATTATTATTATTATTTTTTTGCGTTATTTCGAGGAGATGTTGGACGTTTTTTCTCTTTGCAGTTGATCATGATGGTGATGATGTATTTAAAGTGCATTTTGTTTCATTTAAAGAATAGGGTGTGGCATGTATGCAAATGTATTGGTTCTTATTATTATGTTATGTATGCATTTGTGTGGTATCATGATGATTAAAACGAAATAAATGTAATTTTTTGTTATTTATAATTTTAATTTATAAAAAAAAAAATTTTTTTTTCATTTTTAAGAGGTACAGGCATGCATGGGATAGTAAGAAATGTTAAAAAAAAAAGAGAAAATGTAAATCTAATTAGTTACAAATATAGGCATCTATAAGTTATATTTTAAAATACATATTTAGATAAAGAATTAGCAATATGTAATTTCAACACTTCGTCGGCATCTATTTACTACGTACTATCTATCATGCGTTGCTTTAAAAGAACAGTTCTTTTATTTTTTAATTTCAATTTACCTCTGAATGTCATGCCTTGTGCTTCATTTATAATGGCTGCTAAGGCGGGATGTTGATAACGGTCACGAAAAATAGCTGAACCATTAGATGGCGACGTCATCGTCATATGATTACCGTTAGTTAACGTCACATTATTATTAGCATTACTGTTATTTATTACCTTCTGTTGATGTTGGGGAGTATGCTGTGGTGTCATCGAAGGCGATTGTTGACAATTTTTGTAATAACGATTTTGATTGGGATCATAAAGTTCATTGTGATTTAAGTGATTATTTGATTTGATAGAAGCACAACAATCTTCCTCATTGTGAATCTTCAAAATTCTTTGCTCCTGAGCGCTGAATCGCGTACCATTCAGTGCTTGAGTTTGTAACGGTTTTGTGAGTTGCTTTTGCAGTTGTTGCTTTGCCCGAAAACTGCCACCAGGTGAATTCAACATGGTCCCTCGGGATGAGCTGACCGAGGTTTCAGTTGAATCACGTGGTGATATCTGATGTGGCTGTTGATGCTTACTTGAGTTTGTGTTCGCATTACTGTGTGCATGCGATGGTAATTCGCGATAACTGGATGGACGATGAGTGGACGGTGGCGTATCCAAACCACTGTCATGGGCGGAATAATCCAAATCGTTGCTTAGCTTGTTACAAGCAACGGCAGTAAAGTTGTTATGAGTGGGTAGCATAGGCTGGACTGCAAAGTTACGCCGATTAAAACGTTGCAAAAATGTCTTCTACACTTACCTGAATGCCTTACATCGGTTGGTCCTTGCGGTTTACGATACAACCAATCGCGATCTAGCTCATTACCATTGTCCGTACTATTATTGCGGAATATGCGTGGGCGTCTTAGCTCTACTTCACCTTCTTCTCCCTCCTCATCGACCACGTAATTTGAACCGAAACTACTATTAATAAAAATACGTCTCGGTGACCCATACATGCCCTGACTAATGGCATTAAAACTGCTATTCTGTGAAGCATACCCGTTCGAATACCGACTGCAATTATTGACGGCTGAGTAGGGTATTTTTTGTGGTGTCGAATGATTCGTAGACAGGCCGTTATTGTGATTGTGATTTTCATTATTTAAAGCGCTCAAATCTGGCACCGAATCAGAAAAGAGAAAGGGATTATTGCCCCCATAACTGCACATGCTATTAGTGACGAGCTTTTGCCGCAAACCGCCATTGCCAAGTCCAGCTAAACCGCTGCCATTAGTCATTAACCAATCGTCTAAAGCGCTAGAAAAAGTGCTACCCAGGCCGAAATGCTGCGATTGCAATGAGGCATGAGTCACAGGGGCTGCTAAGGAGGCTCGCGAGCGAGGACCTTGAGCTATCTTCAATGCACGGCGACGTTCTTTGGAGGTGATGGTGCACTCCTGAAATTATTATGCAAAATGCTTGTCTAAGTTTTTGACAAAGGAATTTGCTAATTCGATTTTAACGGTCTTTCTTTTTCTTTCTCTCTCTCTCTCTCTCCCTCTCTCTTTCTACGCCTCTCTCGCTTTTACTATAACAATTGATTAACATAAGTCCTTTTTTATTTCCTACCGCACTTGCGATAAAGGGATTATCAAGTTTAACGGGCGCCACGCACTAAATGGACTCACTTTATATTGTATCGAGCAATTCTGCATTTGCTTAAAGTCGTCTATGTGTTTGATATCTGTCCATCAATGTTTGTTTTTATCCTACACTTTGCAAATGTTGGTACATTTTGACAGGAGCTGGGGATTCGTTTGGACCACTTTCACCACCATATGAAAAAAATGTTTTGCTTTACGACCCACCAAACAGATTTGAAAAAGTTGGATTGAATGGGTAAGTTCTTTAAACTCCTCCCCATATATTCGAAAGCAAGCGTTTACATAGCAACAAGTAAGAATATTGTAGTCGGGCAAGGTCGACCATTAAATAACCTACACCACATTGTCTAACGCAATTCTTATTTTTATTCTAAAACATAAAAATTATATCTTGTTCCTATATAAAGGCAAATTGTTCAAGTGCTTATTTATGGGAAACCGGGCACAAAATGCAACCTAGTGTAGTACAAGTTTGATCCTTACAAAGGGTAGGATTCAAAAATAGGCGAAGATAGTCCAAATTTTATAGAGTTCATTTTTGTATGAAATTACTATTATGGGTCAATTTTTATCACCACGTAATGAAACTTGAACTTTTCTGCTTTATAAAGGGTCAATTTTCGTGAAAATCCTTTTAGCGTAGGATCCAAAAAATAGGCCGAGAAGGTCCAAATTTGGTACATTTAATTTTTTTATGTTAAATTTCTATTATGATATAACTTTCTTCATGAAGCATTCAAAATTAGACACTGTCGTCCCGTAAACTTCAGTTTTCGTTATATGAGGGGGTTCAAAAATTGCCCCAGCCGGTCTAAACTTTCCATACCAATTTAGAATGCCAAAATTCTACTACTTAGCCAATTTCGGTGAGAAATTTTGAAAATAGATATTTTTTCTATATAACGACTTTTCAGAATAAGGCGCTACATAAAGGATGGTCGGAAAAGTGGACCGACCCGAACCATTGTCAATATCGTCCATCTTTGGACCAAAACACGTCACTGTACCAAATTTCGTCGAAATATCTCAAACATTGCGATTTGTAGCTTGAACACAAATTTACATCGTCAGCTATCAGACGGACAGACAGGCTTAGATCAATTCAGACAATGATTCTGAATCGATCGGTACAATATAAGTTAGGTCCACCTTAAGCCCATCTTCGTGTTACATATGACCACACTAAGTTAATACACCTTTTACCACAAGTGGTGTAGGCTATAAAAAGCACCACGTTTTGTCCTGTAACTTGATCCGTTATAAAAATTTAATGTGCGAAATCCGGATCATGTGGGTCGACTTTTTGGAGCGTTTTCATAAAAAGTGAGCCTTTATATAAAAACCAATGAATTTTTAATACATGTGGAGAATAATAAGAACTTTGGCAAAAAAATTAAATATGGTAAACGTAGACCTCGTCGGTCTACTTTTTAGGCCCTATTCCGTACTTTATAAGAAAAATGAATGGAGGAATGTATTAGGCGAAATGGGCTGGTATTTTGGCCTTACACGACTTTGGTGTTTTTACATGTTTTGTAATCGGCCTGTTATAATGCCTTCAAAACTTTTAAATTAAAATATTTGTGGGCATTTGCATAAGTGGATCACGGATATTTTTCTAGCGAAAAATTAGGTGATATTCGAAATTTTTGCATTTTTCTTATATTGTAGGTGTAGTGAGGAGCATATGAATTTCTAGGTGGTGGTGCAAAAGTGAGGCTACGTATCTCACCAAATTTTAAACTAACTACATTGATAACATGATTTGTCCAATATGCTTTGTTTGTCAAACGTTCCAAATTGTATTGACGTTAGCGTCAGTCTTTATTCATCATCTGTAATCAATTGTTCGTTGACTTTTATGCGTTATCATACTTCAGCTTTAACCATAGGTTCCATTCATTTCATTTTATTCCCTCTGGGATATTCCTTATTCATTATAATTATCAGTTTTACATTTTTCCTATCATATGTCAACCTATGTTTTTGATTTTTTCCCAGTTATGAATTACTCGTTGTTATCAACCACATGTCATTTGGTATGCAATATGAATGCAATTACTTAGAAATTTAATTAACATGCTTATGGAGTCGCAGTACAATGACAGTCTTATAAAATCGTTTTTATTACTTGTTCAGTTTTCATTGATTAACTTTTAATATCGACTATCCGTTTTCTCTTAAGTTAGGGAATTTAAATTCGCCTTTATCCGTTTGAGTGGCCGAGTAGGCAAGAGTCTCGACTAGCAACTCAATGGTCGTGGGTTCAAATCTCAAGTTAATTAAGTCGAAAACCGTAGATGCTAGTGCTTTAAGAGAGTGCTTTTAGTCTATTTAGAGTTTATTCTCTGGCTAAATTTATAATAATAATAAATACGCTTGCATTTGAAGTTCTAAAGGGTCTAAGGTACATATTATTCCAGTTGTGTGTACTACAACCAAATCGCCTTAGTTGTGTTAATTTTTTTGCTCAGCGTTTTCGTCCTTTTCAAATGTATTACCTGCCTGATTGCGCTAGACACCGCGACATGGTGGATTAATTTTTTTCTTAATAATACCAGCGATACGATCTTTGATTTTGTCGAATAATATTCAGTCAAGGAATACCGTGGTAAACTGAAGTTGGAAAAAAAGGGTACAGCTGTTACAAAGACTTTAAAGAAGTTTGCTAGATTGACAATTGGAGATCTTTCTTGATACTGTGGGCATTTGACTTAAATCAATCCGTAAGATGTTTTGAGCCCCAAACGCATCACATCGCGAGTGATTTCAAAAACTAAATTTTTTGTGAAAAAAGCGTCGCTAGGTTAGCTTGAAAAAAGCTATAGTGAAGAGATCAAATTGGCACTTTGTTTATTGCTTATAAGCTACGACGGATACAACGCATATTCTATGGATGATTGTGCAGTATCGGTATAGCAACGGAAGCAAGCAATCAGTTCTTTTTAAGACAAGAGGGTGGGTCGGAAGAACATTATTTTCTTACTACTATACATTAATAGAATTTTGTAATCTTGCAATGTGTGTTTATTGTTTAACGATATGCAAATGAGTGATCTCCGCGAAATAAATCGGTTGATATGCGCTACGGTTTCTTTCATATGGCTTGGTTTAAGAGAGATCACTTAACTTACCTCTAACAGCTCGAACCAATCTTCCAAGCCTTCATCGCATCTCAATAAAACTCGTCCTTCTCGTCCCAGTAATAAACCGATAGCACTGTATGAACGGCGATTTAACCATTCCACCTTTTCAACATCAACTAATTTGACCTAAATTATAAAAAAATAACAGCACAAGTAAAAAATAAAACAAAAACGTTAGTGAGAATAATAGAAAAATTGAAGCTAACATTTCTTATAAGAAAAACAGAAAAAGAAAAACAAAACAGAAATAGAATTAAGTTAATTAAAAAGAAATGAACTTTTACGAAGAGGTTAATAACGAGTCAGCTACTTTTTTTATGAATTAAATTTAATTGAATTTCTATTTTGCTACATAAGCGTTAATATGTACTGGTCGTACAAAAAAAAAAAACTTTTTAAGCGCATTTTCGTTGACTTGAAGCAAGTCTTAATCACTGTCTCTAGTAGAGATACAAAGATTGTATAATTTTTTCTCCGTTAACTTTTCATGTCAGTATTAGTGTCACGTTGGCCGAGAGCAATAAATACATTCACAGTTCTACTTAATAATTTGTTGAATTTCATATCCATGTTATTGTATTAATTAATGTAATTAATAAACAATGTAGTTCCTTTTGCGTTGCAAGCTGCAAACAAAAGAGTCACATCTGTTCAAGTCATTCATTATTATTAGTAACGCCTTTCTGACTTTTGCGATTATTCAAATTTCTTGACTTTTTCGACAATCTGTTAGCTTCCTGGTTACATTAAGCAGAGACGCTTGCAATCGTATTTCCCGATGCTGAATAAAGCGTAATTTATTATTATCTTTTTTCGTGTTATTAGTTGGGGCGTAAGTTCGTACCTTAAAAAGTCCATAGGTCTTCAATATGCTAGGTTGTGAGCTTTTATATCCTAAATCGCCGACGATAAAGTTTGTATAACATTCCCAAAAAGAAATGGACATAATATATTTACATTTTACTATATTGTTACGGAAATCCCAAATCTACTCATTTTCTACAACAAAATGTACATTCGCGAGGCGTGATGCAGCTGCAGACCGATGAAAGCGATTAGCGGAAAAGCAGACAGGTAAAAGCAAAGTGCATATTCGCAGGCGCGTCATGCAGCTGCAGGCCGATGAAAACGGTTACCAATAAAAGCAGGTTAACGAATTAAAAATTAAGTCATAAAATTAGGTGCTAGTAATATGATGGCAAAAATTTATATAAATAGAATATTTGTGAAAGACAGGAGAGTAGAAAAAGTTGCACATTAAAAGAAATATAATTGTAAATAAAAGAACTTTGAAGTGTATTTCTCTTGAACAATATTTCCGCGATCCAGTGATACGGACTGTATCTTGTAAAAAGTGAATTTCATAACAATATCAATCGATTTGGAATCGCTGATCGAGTCAAGCCTGTGTTTCTCGACCGGGACCGATATCTTGCGAGACAAAATGAAATGGACGATAATTTGAATGGAATGAGACCATTTTTTGAACTCTTTTCCATATGAATGTATTAACATTCAATTCAATAAAGAATATTTTATCTGGCAACATGTTTCAGATTTTAATTCTTGGGGAACGAATGACGCCTCACTGCATTCCGGGAGCAACCACAGCTACTACTCTAAAGTAATGAATAAAATAGTGAATTTTCTATCTGAACGTACTGTGTGAAATATTAACGCAACAGTATAAGTTAATCCCGTTTTTTTTGGTATATTTAAATAGCTAGAGTTCGGTGTTTCACTTTTCTGGCTTAAATCGAAGGTGCTGTTGAATCGTTATGGTTGATGAACAATAGAGGCATTATGATATCCAAAGAGCAATAAATCAAATAAATGGTGCAGGCAGGGGGAAGCATGAAGATCAACGGCAAAGCTGCACATTCATTAATGACATCCATTTGTTAGCAGCCGGTTTTTGGCGTAACTAAAGGTAGGGCTCTTCTGTGAATAGACTTGGACACTTCGACTAATCGCCCAATCGATATTAGTCACGATTCTGCAAGGGAATGGGAACTCATCAAGATAGAGCCATTGCATGTCGAAGGGACGTTCGCTAGACGTCTGATGTATACCGTGCTAAGACATCCTCACGCAGCGCCGTACGTTCCTAAGCACTCTACGTCTAACGTCTAACACTTCGGAGATCTTGGTGGAATTGGAACAAGAGAGGCGCAATATGTTAAAACTGATCACGTCGTGAAATTTCAGTCTAACAAAATTGGGCCCTTTAGATAAAACTCACCCAGGAGATGTTTGTAGCGTTAACGTGAAATGCGCTACAATTACCCCCGTTATCGGCAGACATCTCGCTATTTACTTTTAACTAAAGTAATCGATGAGTTACGATCCGTTCGAAGAGGGCTTCCATTCCTATGACGATGCCGAAAAATGGGTCCTTAGATTCACAGTCCCAAAACACCAATTGAAGTTAGGATTCCGCATAAAAGATAGCAGGAGCATTGGCAAACGATGGACAGTGGGTTGAGTCAAATATCTCATATCATTGCTCTTCTAATATACCTTAAATTTTATTACAAAATCAGCAGAAAATTATGCATCTTTCCACTGTTTTTTCTGTTGAAAATTGATCCTGTGAAGAATTTAGAGTGTTATTGCTTTGATTACATTGGTTCATTTTTTGAACCTCTCTATAAAATATTTTCATAAGTTAAATATATTCCTAATTTTCTTAAATGCTATATTTCGGTTGCCGGCAGGCGAAATCGTTTAAGGTATTTAAGGGTCGCTCTCGCCTAGCTGCAACGTTTGATCTTGTTATCCATAGGATATAATATTTATTTCTCGCTATGCGTATTGCATAACAAACCAGTTAAGCAAATTTTGTCGTGTTTGCCACTAATGAGTAATCATTTCTCCCAAACTCTCTACGAAATTTGATTGATAAATATCGATTTTGTTGTTTTCCTTTACATCGTAGGGTAAAATATAAAGTAAAAGCTGCTAATTCGCGCTTCCGTTATTCGTGGTTTCACTATTCACGAATGAAAAAAATGCGACCCAATTCCCATATTCGCGGCTATAAATTTCTTTATTCGCGCATGTTTTTTGACTGGTTCCGGAATTGCTTTGTTTCGGAAGTTAAAACTTATTTAAAAAAACTGAATTTAGACTTTGAAGCACTTCTAGTTTTGGACAATGCACCAGGTCATCCTCGCGCACTTGAAACTATGCATCCAAATATAACCCGACGGCTTTGCTTCAATCTATGGATCAAGGAATAATCCAGGCATTTAAGCTCCATTGCATTAGACGAACCGTAGAAATCATATTGGATAATATGGAATGTAATACTGATATGAATGTTATTGAATGCTGGAAGACATTTGACATAGCAAAGTGCATCGTAAACCTAAAAGAATCATTTGAAGAACTGAAGCCACACACATTGAAGTCATGCTAGAAAAAACTGTGGCCTGTTCTGACTGCGGAAAATGACGAAGAATCTGTGCAAGTTCAAACTTTGATTGCAAACATAGCCGAAATCGCGAATGGAATAGGACGAGTTCGGTTCGAACAGATAGAATCAAGTGACATTCAGGAATTGCTTGAATCGCAAGATGAAGATTTGACTGAAACCGACTTGGAGGAAATGTTAAATTCATCGCCCATTGAAGAAGAGCCTTCAACAAGTGCTGGAAACGTGACATTTAATTGGAAAAGTCTTAGTGAAGGTTTAAGTATGGCAAATGAGCTACGCGCTTTTTTTATGAACATTGATCCGTCTATGGAACGCAGTCTTATTTTTAAGAGGCAAATTGCTAATGCAACTGCTGCGTATCGGTCTAAATTGAAGGAGTTTTTAAAAACTGCCAAGCAAAAGAAACTTACAAAATTCTTCAAACCATTGCCCAAGTCTTAAGATAATTAATCAAAATGTTCAAATATTTAAATTAAATTGATTTTTTTTTTATTTTGTCACCTAAGAACGTATCCCCTATAAACCCATATAAATTGCCATTCCGTATTCACGGTTTCTGTATTCACGGCATTTTTATGAAACGTATACGCCGCGAATAAGGAGTTTTTACTGTATTCATTAAAACAATTTGTCAATTGTGACATGCTTACTTACCATATATGTAACTACAAATATTATCTCTACAAATATATCTGAAACATTAAAAAGTATTGTCATGTTGATTACCCAAGGGACGTACATTGATTTTATTAGTAAACGGGGTTTTGCATTTCTCTAGAGTGAACTTCAGTTTGCAGGTTGAACAGGTTCGTTGTCACACGAGTAAACTTACACGTAGAGACAACTAAAGCGAATTTAAATTTCGCATCATAGGATTTCAAAAATATATTTTTTAGCTTTTATTACTGCGTTTTTTCTTTTGTGTATTACTGGCTAGTAGCCACTATTGTTTGACCTTAACCGCTGGATAAGTCGTAAAAACAGTACACTATAAACATGCAAATAACATTGTTTTAGTTTTAAAACAAAAAAAAAAAAAAATTTCAAAGTTTGATGTAACCTTCGACTCGCACTAATCAATATCTCTTTTAGCTATTGGAGACTAAACGTGTATTAATTTTTAATAGTCAGTAAAACTTCAAAAATTCGAAGAAGTATGTAATTGTTGGGCCTAATTTAACAATTTTTGTCCGCTCTTGAGACATTTAAGCTTTAATTTTAAAACCTGCTAGTTATAAACTTTTAACCCAACTTTTACTACTTTATGTTCATATATCCTTGGACATGTTATAAGAATCAAAACGACCTTATCCTGTCTTCAGTTTATCATAGCGTATAACCCACAGAAGATCGCGATTTGAAATTTGGCGTAAAACTTTCCGCGATCATTTAAAGCAATAAATACGTTCATCTAAATTATCTCATTGATCTGCCTATCGCTTAAAGCAAAACGGCATGATTTTTCGATATCTTCACTAGACAGAAAGTTTTGAGAATTCCCTCTCAAACGACATTCTTGCTCGTTGTAAACTTTTCTTTTTTGTGAGGAAAACTATTTTTTCCTAAGTTTTTTTCATTATGATAGTTTATTTAAAATTTCTTTATTTTCATTTTGGCTTAAAGCCAAATCTAATTGATTTTTCTAAATCGCAAATAATTTTTGTTTCTATTTCTTTACGGCAAGTTT